CCTTTGAAAAGATTGATTGAACCTCTGGTATAGCCAAACCACCTCTGATCCTCTCAGCTCCTTCTTCCTCTTCTACCGATGGTTTGTGTAACACTACCCTCAACAGGTGGCCTTTGAAAAGATTGATTGAACCTCTGGTAGAGTCGTAGGCCAGCAACGCTTGGCAGACCAAGTGTTATCCGGTGTCTGAAGCAAGTCTATAGTGGCAAAGCTATCTTATCTTAGAATCTCTATCCTTAGAAAACCTCGCTACCCGAGCTATCCTTCTTCTTGTTATCATTAGGTGAACTAGCTTAAGAGATTCTTACACCTCCTTTCCTCTTGGAAATATGATACCTTGAATACTTCCGGGTGAAATGCTACAACGGTAATTCCGTACGCTTGTGGATTATTTCTGTATGTGTTAAGAAATACCAACAAGCACACACTAGAATCTAAATGCATATGCAATGAGTTATAACATTTTGTGGCACTTTGATAACTGCATTTCACGATGAGTTTCACCCCTCTTAATAGTACGTCTATCTATCCTAAACCCACTCACACCCACTTGGTGTCTTGAGTGGCAAAACAAAATGCTCATATCAAGTATACCTTTGCCTTGAGCCATTTTTTTCTCTTTCTTCTTTTCCAAGTTTGGAGCTTGATCACTATCATCACATGTCCATCTTCAACACCATGGACTTCATCTTGCTCCAACCCTTGGCTTGGACCAACCTATCTGAATTCCACACTTAGAGCATAGGGTTAGTCCTAATGGGTTTCATTAATTAACCAAAACCAAACTAGATCTTTCAATTGGCCCAGCATAGGCGGCACAGCCTTGCGGACACCGAGGTTGAGGTCAGGTAGAGGTAGCATACGCCGTGCCTCAAAGGGAATGATTCCGCTGCAGAGGCTGGCGTGTAGGCCAGCGGTGGTGGCTATGATGCGGGCGCCCTTGCCCTCTCTGCAAGCGACCTAGACGTAACTCTTCTCAAGGGATGCCTTCTTCCTATGTGACGCCTTCTTGGTCACTGCAGGTGACGTAGGGCGTAGCGACATCATCGCCTCATCGAGATCCTTGTGGGGTGCGAAGCAGTTTGGGGACGTCAGCGAGCTATAGGACCTAGACTCTAAACGGCATGAGGGTCGGTGCCCACATCCTCCTAGGAGAGAGGGGAGCCGCAGCTCCACCGTTCCTGGTAGCCCACGGCGCCCATCCACGCCAACATGGTCGTGGAGGTGGTGCGGGGGAAAACAGCGGTGGTGGCGGCCATGGCAAGGTAGGGTGAAGGGAGTGGAAGGGTTTTGGTTTGAGAGACGAGAAGACAAGGAGGTGCCGGTGCTTCGGTTTGTTTGCTTTGTGCACGAGGAGAGGAGAAGGGAGGAGAGGCGGGGGCTTCCTTATTCACCGGTTCTGTCAACCCATGTGAGTTATGTTGATTGGCGAAGCCCCTAACATACACATTATTATCCCTAAGAAAGAGCCTCACCCAATCTGTACTTCCATCAACCTGAATTCTAACATTGTCCCGTCTTCTTGGCGGGAGTTCATTGGTCTGCCATTCAAGCAGAGGCTGCAGACCCAGTTGTTTTAGTTGGTCAAAGTTGGAAAGCATAGATGCATGCTTCTCTTGCAAAAGTTCGTCTTCATTAGGGTGTTGTGCAAATATATCCCTTATCTCTTTCTCTTTGTGCCTAAAAGGTTCTAAGAGAGCTTTCCACATTGATGGTGATATCTAGTTCATCATGTAGCGCCACCATGGATGAGGGACGCTGATTTGCCAAATGGGAGAGCGGAGACAAGAGATGGGATGTAGTTTCTAGTGATTTCGCGGGCTGGTGGTAGGTCGATTGGGCTTATGGGACAATTTACAACATGATGTACAATTATACATATATACTCATATACATATATTTGTTTTTGTTGCAAAAAACATGGGTATTCCGTGGAATAAGGGGGCATACCCCTAGCTCCGTCCATGCTTCTATCTTGTACTCATTTCATTTGGATTTTCCCTCTTTCTCTATCCCTATGCTCAGATTGCCCTATCTCCTTGTAGCTATATCTCCATTTTTTTGGAACGTTCCAAACATTACTTGAGTATCGAAGTCTAGATAAATACTAGCAAAAACATCTTGGAGCACCATGCCAAAGTGTGTCCAGGAAATATATTGGGACCAATGTTACGGGCTTCTAGAATACAAATGGGATTTTCGTAAAATTGATCCTTGAGTCTTGCAATCAATTCAATTGAAAAATCCAATGACAAAATTATGGAGATTTGTTAGCTCGCTATTTAGTATGAGTCACCAGATGGAGAATGTACTGACAACAGTGTAGCGGGCATGCTAGTAGGGTTAAAGCATATGGAGGTTTGAGTTATACACACAAGGTTAGTTAAAATGAATTTCACCTGTCAAAATTTGTACTATGTCATGAATATTTGGGCCCTATAGGCACCGTGGTATTAAATGTAATCAAGCCCCTTACCCACCGTTGACCTCAAACACTATTGAAACTAGGTCCACCCCAACCCAACCTCCAATCTAAACACATGGTAAGACTCTTAGTGGAATTCTTGCATTCTGGCTAGTTGGAGATCTATAGAGCTCCAACCACCCCTCCCTTGTACCTTTGATTTTGGGTAATGAGCTTGTGCATACCCATTTATACTTGGGAAAGTGAATTCGATATTGCTTGTACTAAAGTTTGAAACTTAGAAAAAGCATACATATAAATAAGACCCCAAATTTAGTATTTTGATAATAATAGAAGAAATATATGATGTCTTGTTAGAAATATATTATTCCCCTGAAGGTGGAAGATTTTGATTTATTAAGTGGAATGGTACTGTTCTAGAATAATCATGAGAAATATATTATTGATTTATGAGAAAAGTGTTCAAGGTCACCAGAAAAATATTCTAGGTTTAGAAGAATAATATTCATGTTAATAATAACAATAATGTTCCAATTCATAAGAGTTATTCCAGCTTCATTCGAATAATATTCCACCTTCATGATAAAATTCAAGATTTAATATAAAAGTATTATATATACCTAGATAAATCTATAGTAGTTCAAGGAGATAATATATATTCTAGGCTCAGGGAAATGGTGAGAATAATATTCCAGCCTAAGAGTAGGAAGAAACTTAAATAGAACAAAAATGTAGATAAAAAACAAAAATTAGAAAATGAAAGGAAAACAAAATGGAAAAAATCTATGTTTTAGTCTGGAGAATAATATTTCAATTTCGAGAGAAGAATGTTCTAGATTTTGGACAACGATATTCTAGTCTAGGAGAATGATACTCCAGGGTCGGGAGAATAATATTCCAAGTTTATAAGAATAATGTTGCAGGTTTAGTACATTAATTTTATAGTATAGGAGAAAAACATAACAATTCAAGGATATAGTATTTTAGGTTCAAAAGAATTACAGCAAGAGAATAATATTCTAGGTTCAGGTGAATGATATTTGGAATAGAAGATAATATTATAGTCCAAGAGTAGAAAGAAAATTAATTTAATGACAAAGTAAATACATAATGGAAAAATAAAAACAAAAAAGGAAAATGAAAAGAAAATAATACATGGAGAGTAATAGTACTTCTAGTTCGGACAATATATATGTTCTAAGGCAACAATCTTTCAGGTATTTTTAGGGTTGGTCATTGGATTCAACATAAAGACTGTATTTTGGCTTCGCCATTCTAGGAAAGCCATTGGAGAAGAAGAAGATGAAAGAATCTGAATAGAATATTATGTATTTTTTATTTTAGATTTTTTCATGTGTAATCTGGGGATGTACTATGTCGAGTTTTAATGTAATCCCCTTCCCCTTAAAAAAAGAACACTACCAAGATTAATTAATATTAGCCAAAAACATCCTTCTCCATACTACACAAAGCCAAGCCATTGTCTCACATAGTCTTAGGTATATTGTGACTGCCATAGATAAATGTGTAAATAAAATCGAAGTCACACCTATGACAAATCACAAAACTAGAGTAAAAATAGGAACTATGATATGACAATGTTAGGCAGAACCGAATATATCAACTATAATAAAACCTTAAAATAAACCTTCAACACTGTAGATTTCAGGTAGCTAATCATGTGTACACACGTTCATCATTGACACGGTTTAGATACATAAATTCATACTCCGACCCATGAACCTGGAGTACCGTCCATGTGTAAACAAGCTCACCCGACATCTTCAATGGTTCTCCAAAACCGGAGTTGGAGTCATTGAGATGCAATGTGGGTTTTCTTACATAAAATTCTCAAATTTGTTCAGCCGATCCATGGCTGGTTTCCCACATGGCGGTTTCGTTGACACGGTTTAGATACATAAATAAATACGTAAGTTCATTTCCTTTTTTTGGCTGAAAAGCGTTCATATGTGTGAACTAATGTACTGGTAGTACTGAATTAATATATGACTATATATGACACTGCTCCTTTTTCAAACTTCAACGCTGAAACTGAGATTAGTCGCTCTTTCTTACTACGGGTAAGGTAACCACTTATTACCTGGGTGGCTGGGTCAAAAGGCCGAAAAGGAAATTTAAAAAAGAAAAGAACACAAAGAACCCTAAAAATCCATGTCATAAAAGCCCTAAAAAGTAGAGCGCTTCAAAGTACAGACTAGAAAAGAAAAACAGAACGAAAGTGAGCATCCATTTTTTTTTCTAATCACACCCTCATCCTTGCTTCCTTCCCGCTATCCTTTCGCGTACTAATCGCGTCCTCGTCACTACTTGCCGAAAATGCCCTCGCCTACTCTGTACGCCGGTTCATACAAAAGAGGCCTCACGGCACAGAGCACCTTGCTCACTCGCCCCTCCTCTTCCACTTCCACTTCTCGCTCGCACCAAGCCAGGTGAAGAACACGAGCAGGAAGGGGGAAGAAGAGGAGGAGGAGACCTATCAGAGCCAGATAGCCAATCAGTATCTGTACCACTACCACCAGGCACCAGATTACCGAAATCTTGTAGAGGGAAGGGAATGGCGCCGAGCAGCTACGAGATGGCGGCTTCCATCCTGCTGTGCGCCGAGGACAGCAGCAGCATCCTGGACCTCGAAGCGGAGGCCGAGGAGGAAGTGATGCTGGCGCGGAGCAGCAGGACGCGCGGGGCGCCCAGCGTGGTCTTCCCCGTGCCGTCCGAGGAATGCGTCGCCGGTTTCGTGGAGGCGGAGGCGGCGCACATGCCGCGGGAGGACTACGCCGAGAGGCTGCGCGGCGGCGGAATGGATCTCCGCGTCCGGATGGACGCCATCGACTGGATTTGGAAGGTGGGCGCTCGGTCAATGTAGTGTAGTCTCGCTCGTTCCCATACATCAGGCTATGAATCTGACAGTTAACCTCTCGACAGGTTCACACATACTACGGTTTCGGCCCTCTCACTGCCTGCTTGGCCGTCAACTACTTGGACCGCTTCCTCTCGCTCTACCAGCTTCCGGTAAGAATCAAATCCGTCCGAGACGAACTGATGATGAAGCAGCACTGTTACTTCTTGGTTCTTGAAATTCTACTGCACCATATGTTCCAGTGTTTCAGTGCCGGCAATCATGTGTGTCTCGCCATTTCAGGAAGGCAAGGCTTGGACGACACAGCTGCTGTCCGTGGCGTGCTTGTCCCTGGCTGCCAAGATGGAGGAGACCTACGTTCCCCCGTCTCTGGACCTGCAGGTGAGATCGAGAGCAATGCAGATCACACACCACACGTTCCAGTGGGGTGCGGCCAGCCGGTCAGGCCCCGATCGTGTCGGTCGAGCTACAGACGCCCATCTACCAGGCCTGAAACCTTGTTCCTGATCACTGTTGTTGGATCCTGTCGGCCAGCAGGTCGGGGACGCGCGGTACGTGTTCGAGGCGAAGACGATCCAGAGGATGGAGCTCCTGGTGCTCAGCACGCTCCAATGGAGGATGCAAGCGGTCACTCCCTTCTCGTACATCGACTACTTCCTCCACCGGCTCACCGGCGGCGACGCGCCGAGCAGACGCGCCGTCCTTCGATCTGCGGAGCTCATCCTGTGCATCGCAAGAGGTGAGCATCAAGCAGGAAATTCTCATGCATCCGGCGGAGTTTTCCCATAGATAGAAACCATTGGCTCATCCATTTCGATCGATCTGACGACGTTACTGTTACGAACGCATCGCAGGAACGCACTGTTTGGATTTCAGGCCCTCGGAGATCGCCGCGGCCGTCGCCGCCGCCGTGGCCGGCGAAGAGCACGCCGTGGATATCGACAGGGCTTGCTGCACCCACCATGTACATAAGGTACGCGTGTGCCTTCCCCGACCGACGTTACGGAGTTTTGTCGTCTGAGTCAGCTAGCGTCTTTCAATGCAATGCAATACGTTAGCGTTTACCGCATGCGTCGAGGTCGTAGGTTTGCATCCGTACTCGACTTGCTTGTGCAGTGCAGCTAGGCAAGGCACGCCTGCCGAAGTTGCGTGAACCGCATTTACAGCCACGGCGATTAATGCTTTTTTGTTGCTTTGTGCTGCTGCGGTTGCAGGAGAGGGTGTCGCGATGCCTTGAAGCGATCCAGGCTGCCGTGGCCCTGCCGGGCACTACCGTGCCGCAGCCGCTGCTGAAGACTGAAGGCACGAGCAGCGGCCGCAGAGCCTCTCCTTCCTCTGCCACCGTGCCGCGGAGCCCCACCGGTGTGCTGGACGCTGCAGGCTGCCTCAGCTACAGGAGCGATGACACGGCTGCTGCTGCTGCTGCTGCCGCCTCGCATGCGAGCAGCTCCTGGTGCGACGAGGACGACGACAGCTCCCCGGTTGTTTGCAGCAAGAGGAGGAAGATTAGCAGATGATTACACCAATGATGGACGGATGAAAAGCCCATTCCGCGCCCTGATCAATGATCATCTTCTTGATAAAAGTCAAGCGGTTTTGATTGCACTAACTGAAGAGTTTGGTTTGTTGGGAGCTTTTGACGCCGGTTTCAATCAAAGTGGATGCCTGAAAGGCAAAGGAAGCGCAACCAAAAGCAGGACATTTCGGACATGACGATCCAGCAAAGACGACGCCCGGGAATAAAGACGATCTGAAATCGTAGAAATGTACTGAATTTCGTGCGTTTTTTTGCAACAGTCGGCACGCAGCCACTGAGCCACCACAAGCCCACAATGGAATGGTGTTGCGAAAAAGAGCAAAGGTTTTGCAGGTTGACAAAGCTGAGACGGGACGAGACGACCAGAATAAAAGGCAGCGATGATGGGGATGATGAGGCGATGCTGACACAATGCAAGGCGTGAACTAGCTATAGATAGCTGCGTACTAGTTTGCTCTGTTCTGTAATTTCCGACCAATTTCCATTTGTATGTAAAAAGGAAAAAAATGCAAAAGAGAAAGAAAAAAAATTATTGCGTCAAAAATTCAAAATAATGGCTAACCAACTCTTCGAATCCAAGAAGCAGGAAAGTTAAACAAGAACATAAAGACAGGACCCAGGAAATGGGTTTCTTTCAGGGGTTACGAACTATCAACATCAGCAATAATCGGTTTCTCTTGATATGAACCAACCACTAGGACACCACCTCGCTGCCACCAAACATTTGTTTGACTGCTTGTCTGCAAAGACCGTGGAAATCGGCTCCTTTTTTGGAAAAAAAGAGCAATAAAAATAAAATAGAGGCGACATCGTCTGGGGAAACCTCGGGAACACAAACATAGCTCACAAAAGTAGTGCTACTGCCATGCCATGCAGGGCGCTTGAGAATCTGTCTTGTACTCTGTCTAGAAAAGAACCTAACTACGTGTTACGTGTTAGTAAAAATAGTTTACGTTTAACCAAATTTCTAATAAATACTATTTATATTTATGATTTTAAAATAATATATTATAAAAATATATTTTATAATTAATCTAATGATATTTATTTGATATCATAAATATTGATAATTTTTTATTTATAATTGATCGAACTTAAGATATAAAACTATGATATTGTGCTAGAATTACATGCTTTGTATAAAACTCTGTGTCGATGCGAGCTTATGGCCCTTTCTTAATTTGCGATTTTATTATTATGCCTTCATGAACTGGGTTTCTTTTCAGGTGACGCGTGCGCTGCCATGTTTAAGTTTAACCCTGTCCTGCTTGTCATGTGTTGCAAGCATATGCAAGGACAGTTAAGTACTTGCAGACAAGCATCACTGTTAAACAACACTAGGTTACTGTTCAGTTCCCACTTGAGGCGGTGCACTATACTTTCGGTATTCTCCAAAGACCATCACATGCACGTATTTATGGCTGGCCGGCATTGTATAAGCCTGCAATCTGCGGTTGCACGTCACCTAACTCCTGACTGTCAAGCCTTGGATGAATACACAAATGGTCCCTCATCAGGCCGATAAGTTTTCCTATCTTCGGCTTCGCACCAAATTAAGCTGCGAGGTTCATTAAAATCGTATCCAATAGATACATCCACCGTATCCGGAGACAGTCGCAAGGCACAAGAGCAAGAGCACACGCATTTTTCTTCGCCTCATCAGCTCAGCCAGTTGCATGCACGGCGTATAGAGATACGAGACGCTACGCTTCCTTATACCCAGCGGCTGTGTTGCCAGCTTCCTTTTGCTGCTGGTTTCAGGAACCTCCTTGGTAGGAAGCGGGCACGTCGGCCCCCACGAGACGCATGGCATGGTCGCATCGCATGAACCTCAAAGCTATTATTCTCATGCATGATGCGCCAGTGTCCTGTCCCGAGATGCGCGCCAACCGCGACAGCTCGTCCACTTTGGGCTTGGGCGGTAAATTCAGCGGCAAAATCAACAAGCGAACAAGACATATGCATGCACATCCACAGAACTGGGTGCTGCACCTGCACTGCTGCTACTGCCGCTGCCGATCGCTGGGCCGGCCGGGTTTACCTTTAGCGGCCAGGGAAGGAATAAACCCACGCCGCGCCAACCTCGCCCCAATTGTAACAATAATCGGGTCGGCCGGCAGCCCGGCACCGTAGTAGCCGCGTGTCTGCCTGGCCAAAGGTTTCCAGATGGGATCGCGCGCCGAGACCGGTCGTCGTCGGCGAGACGGCGACGCGCCCCATACCGTCGCTTTGGACGCGCGCGTCGTCCCCGCCGGGGCTGACGGTACAAGAGCACAAACAGGTGGTGGGTCTCGGAGCTGCAGACTGCTGTGCAATTGTCAGCGTGGTCAAATGCCGGGGGCCAGCAGTGTGCGAGCTTGATAGGCCAGATCGCCAGAGTACTATACTCCAGTGTGGTAGGTCCATCGTTTAGCCCTAACAAGAATGAAATTGACAATACAGATCATGGATGATGGTACCGCTGCACAGAGTACCGAGCGAACAAACAATTGTTTCGCCATCATGATTCATGGGACATTGGGACGCCGGGGACCTGATGAAAGTTTGGATCCATCGGGACCGTGTCTACGTCTGGTAGATCTTTTTCCTTTTAAAAGGAAAGCTTGCGCAATTTCGTGACGGTGGTCGACTGGCTGTATTTCAAATATGATGCGATAACAGTTAGCATTTGGATGTATTCGGATTCACGTCAATCCACATGTCATGTGTTGAGGTAGATTAGAGTGGAACTTAAACTGAATTCCACCCGAATTCACCCTAACACATGGAGTGAATCCGACGACATTCAAACTAGACTTAAAGTTTGTTTTCACAGTTCAATCTTTCTTAGAAACTATTCTGGAAACCTACCGAGGGAAAACCCACTTGTAGTTAAAATGAATGAATATTGTAGCACATACCCAGGTGTAAGTAGCCACATGTAAACCAAGAAGCTGGACACCATATTCAAAAACTCGAGAAAACCAAGCGACAAAGGTTTAAACGAGGGGTTTTCAATGATCAAGAGCAGCTAGGTAGATAAAACGCTGATGTGTTGTCATAATCAAGAGGAAAGATAAGGAATTGATTTCTTAGGGTGGCTATGATGGTGACTTACGAGCTAGCTCTAACCATATTATTTTATACTATAGAAGAGAGGAAAAATATATCTCTTGATCAACAGCTAGGCTTATAGTTTTATACACACATTTTGAGATTATGTGAGAGTGTCATGTGACACACTGTCCATATTATAATAAGCTATATGCTAAAAATTAATATTATTAGAGAAGTTGTCTTAGAGCTAGTAACTAGCTCATACTATTGAGGGTGCCCTTATACAATAAACCATATTTACAAGAGAACCAAGATAGGGCTAAGTAGGTAAAATGCTATCGTGGCATTGCAATTAAGAAGGAGAGAGAAGGAATTCTACAAGAAATCATGTTTTACACGGGAACCAAGATAG